ACGTTGGCACTCATCCTGTCTCCCTCCTGAGCCAAACCAGTGTCACCTCACTGACCTGCTTTGCTGGTGGTGACCACACTCCTTGACTTGTCCTCTGCAGCCAGTGATGGTTGGGCTGTGGTCAGCATTTCAGTGAAGGGGATGCAGATGTCTCCTAAAAACAACTCACTTGCATCTTGCTTTTTATCTCTGTCTTCTTACTTTTGGCTCCACCACAAACCTCCATCATAAACCCTCATCCATCCCATAGCTTGCTTGCTCAGGTCTATCACATGAGCCTTGGGTGTCCCTTCCCTTCTAATAATTAGGAAAGCATCACTGGGTCCTTCAAGGCAACAGCAGCTCAGCCAGGAAGGTTCAGCTCCAACCTGAGAGTCAGAAAATAAGATAAATAAAACTTGACAGAACTCAGAAAGCTTTTGGAAGACAGTCCTAAGAACACAAGTGTTAATTAACTAGACATCAGCCATGAAAATTGCCACAAAGTAAATGGGGCAGAGGAGCAGATCTGCCCTCAGTGCAGCTAGGGCTCCACCTTGGCCACTTCTCTGCTTCATGGACACCAGGTTAGCTCCACAGAACAGGTGCTTCATTCTAATTCTAGGCTAAATTCTATAAATTTCACTCAGGCCAAGTTCCCATGAATATCTGGCCCTGTTTGGACATTGTGCTCTCCAGGGTAGAGACAGTGAATGCATTTTAGTGATTGACATGTGAAATCTGCATTCTGGGATGTATCAAAACCAAGAAAAAGCTCATGTTGCAGCACTTGCTGTCACAAAAATGCTTGTACACTTGAGCCAGACTATGAGTGTCAGGCAGGAGAGGAGCCCCTGGGAGGGTGTGAGCAGGGTGAGTTATGGCACTGCTGAGCAGCCCCATGTGCTATCAGATGCCTTTGGGCCTGTTCCTCACCTCTTTTGCAGTCCCTCAGCACACAATTATTTGCAATTGCTTTCCCATCATGAGACACAGGCATATTATGTCCAAAACCCAAAGTCCAAGCAAGAGGCAGCCTGTCTTCTATGTCCAAGCAAAGCAGGTGACAACACAGCCCTTGGGGAAGAACACGAGTGCAAACAGAGCAGAGCAATTAATTTCTCTCCAAGACAGGCCTATTGCTGGCTGGATGAAACCAAGGAAGTGAAAGCCATGGCAACACCCCTGGGATGGGCCCTTCCAGCCAAGCTCTTTGCTATGGCAGGAGAGGCTGATAAGGGAGAACATCAGCCCATCACCCCTTTGCTATCTCTGTGTACCCAGGGGCCAGAGGTGTCCTGGTAGGGATAGCACACCTGCCCAGTCTGCAGGGTGTCCTCTGGTGGGCCATTAGCCATGACTTTGACTCCTTTTGAACCTTACTAAATGGGGCAGGAGGGCTGGGGGTGCAAGGAGATGTGTCTTCTTGTGGGGCTGAACACGTGCTGCCTGTGGGACACACCATCCATCAGAACAAGCAATTCTTTCACATCCCTCCAACACTGTTGGTTGTTTTTTTTTTTTCAGAAACCACGTATGGAGAAAACTGTTTCCACCAATTCCAATGCCCAGAAACAAATTCAGAGATCACTTCCCAAATGACTATGAGGTAAAAGAACAGTTTTATTTGTTTCCTAAAGGAACACTTGTGTTTGTGTGCTGCTCTTTCACAGTAAAGCTGGGAGCACATAGCTTGTTATTGCTCTGTTAAAGCCTTTTGACCTCTTAGAATT